AGCACTCTACCCAGGGTGACAGGTTGAGGCTCTGTCTCAAAAAATAAAAAAATAGGCTTGGCGCCTGTGGCTCAAGTGGCTAAGGCGCCAGCCATGTACACCCAAGGTGGCGGGTTCAAATCCAGCCCGGGCTGCCGAACAACAATGATGGCTGCAACCAAAAAGTAGCCAGGCGTTGAGTCGGGCACCTGTGGTCCCAGCTACTTGGGAGGCTGAGGCAAGAGACTTGCTTGAGCCCAGGAGTTAGAGGTTGCTGTGAGCTGTGATGTCACAGCGCTCTACCCTGGAGGACAGCTTAAGGCTCTGTCTCAAAAAAATAAAAATAAAATAAAATAAAGAAAGAAAGAAAGAAAAAAAGTGTTTATGTATGCATTCATATAAGTGTAGGGGTGTGTGTGTGTGTGTGTGTGTGTGTGTGTATTTGCTTCTTTATCTCTATACTTAAAGGTTAAAACATAAAACCAAAAAGTTAACAGTAAATATTTACAGAGATGGAGAAGAAGGGGACAAGAAGTGACTTTGTTTTCTGATGACTGATATTTCCTTATGTTTCTACATGAATCTGTACATTCATAATTACAGGAAAAACAAAAAGACTCAAAGAGGTTCATGAGTCTGAATAACCACTTTAGCAGAATCTTGTGAACTGGGGCATTTGGCGACTATTTTTTTCTCAGAAGCACTTACTGATGATAGTACTATAAGATTATTTTCAGCTCCATCATAGGAAAAGAAGTTCCACTCAAGTGGGAGCATATACGCAAAAGCTTGGCAGGGGACAAAACACAATGGTGCTTATCATGATCTGCTCTCTTTGGCCCCAAACGGAGCATCTCTTCTGCTATTAACTGAGGCAGCTTCCACATAGCAAACTCTATAGGGACAGTGTTTCTCAGGCCTGCTCACTGGTGCAATAACTCTCTATCCACGTGGGCTGTCCTAGGTCAGAAGGAGCAGAGGCAGATGTCCTGTATGGCACCCAAATAGTGGGAACCAGCAATTTCCCATTACAGAAATCTTATGCCAGTAATTTGGGTACAACGGTTAAGAGGACAGGCTACAAAGCCAGCCTGCCACTATTATCAGTATGATATTAGGTAAATAACTCATCTGTATTTCCTCATCTGGATAATGGCAACGTAAGTTTAGTTCTGAGGTTAAAACGAGGTAATATTTGTAACGTGTCTAGAACGAGTCTCTGGTACATAGTAAGCCCTAATAAACATGAGTTATTGTTAATACTATTAATAACATTATGTAGCAACAATTACATACTTCCCTAATATCAATAACTTCTAATTCCTGTCCTCCACTGATCTGTTCTCCTGATAAAATTTGAAACAAACAAGCTTAAGATAGCTTTTTAATTTCATTTGGCCTCATCAGTTTCAAGACTAGAAATAAAATTGTATGGAATATATTAACATGATAAAAAGTAATTTAGATCAACAGGTTCTTGTTGTTGTTGAAGAGAGATGGAGTCTCTCTCTGCCACCCAGGATGGAACACAGTGGCATCATCACATGTAGCTTACTGCAGCTTCAAACTGCTGGGCTTAGGTGATCCTCCTGCCTCAGCCTCCAAAACAGCTGAGACTATAGGCATGAGCCACCATGCCCAGCTAATATTTTTTGCAAGGGCCAAGCGTGGTGGCTTACAACTGTAATCCTAGCACTCTGGAACGCCACGGTGAGAGGATCACTTGAGCTCAGGAGTTCAAGACCAGCATGAGCAAGACCCCATCTCTACTAAAAATAGAAAAATTTGCTGGGCTTCATGATAAGTGCCTATAGTTCCAGGTACTCTGAAGGCTGAGGCAGGAGGATCACTTAAACTCAACAGTTTGAAGTTGCTGTGAGCTAAGCTGAGGTCACAGCACTCTACCCTGGGCAACAGAGTAAGACTCTGTCTCAAAAAAAAATTTTTTTTTTCACTCGGCACCTGTAGCTCAGTGGCTATGGTGATGGCCACATAAACCAGGGCTGTCGGATTCGAACCCGGCCCAGGCCTGCTAAACAACGACAACTACAACAAAAAAATAGCCAGGAATTGTGGTGGGCTCCTATAGTCCCAGCTACTTGGGAGGCTGAGGCAAGAGAATTGCTTAAGTCCAAGAGTTTGAGGTTGCTGTGAGCTGTGACACTACAGCACTCTATCAAGGGCAACATAGTCAAACTCTGTCACATGTCTGCAGCGACATGGTCTCACTCTGTCTGTTTGCAAACTCCTGGCCTCAAATGATCTTTCCTCCTCAGCCTCCCAAAGTGCTGGGATTACAGGTGTGAGCCACTACACCCAGCATCAGTAAAATCTTAAGACATGTATAAATGAGTTTTATGACACACAGGATCAATACTATCAGGATCACCAGAGCACAGCACCACATAGTCAGGGTGTCCAGCCTTTTCTTCCCCTCTGCTATACACTGAAAGTATTATAAGAGTTGCCTTGGGCCACATATTTGCTGGCCACAGTTTGGACATCACTGCCACAGACTTTAGAGCAGAGAAAGTGCTCTTGAGTAAACTGAATAAACAAATGAATTTTTAAAATTGTCATATCCAATTCACTACCTCGTCACTAACCATATATTCATTTATTAGACTCTAGCTCCTCCCTTCTAGAGTAGTATACCTTTTGTCCTTTGAAAGTTTTGCTTCTTAAAATTTAAGATACATCTATTTTAAGCAAAACTTTCAAAGGACAAAAAAGTAAAACCAGGACCAAACCACTACAATCAATTTTATATGATTAGATAATATGATTGAGAAGCTCTCAGACAAAGTGCTTCCCTCTATACTTACCCTCTGGCTCTCCCCACAACATCTTTTTTCTCCAGCCAATGTTGTCCTTGTTTATAGAGGCCTCGGTCATCAACTGCATTATTATCTCCTTTGGTCAAAAACTTGATATGTCCATTTTGCCTTAACAGAGTAAGGGAAAGTCAAGTCATCAAATACCTTCATAACATTTGAAAGTATAAAATTTGTTCTTATTAATCAAAAATTCCTATGGCACTATGGTGTCTTATCAACCATTCATTAAATATCAAAATAATTTCTTTCTATGTATCTTTTTCATTCATTTAGCATTCTGTATGCTGACACAAAGGTAAAAGAAAATGATCGAAATTTAAATGTGAAAGAACACAATTAAATCCATAATTTTATACATTTTTCTTACTTATAAGTCAATGAATAATTGCCAATTATTATAAAAACAGGACAAACTATATCATAAGAGAATCAAAATACAGGAAAAAATTTCAGGCCAGGCAAAGTGGCTCACATCTATAATTCTAGCACTCTGGGAGGCTAAGACAGGAGCATTCCACTAGCTCAGGAGTTCAAGACCAGCCTGAGCAAAAGTGAGACCCTGTCTCTACTAAAAATAGAAAAATTAGCCAGGTGTTGTAGCAGCACATGTAGTTCCAGCTACTAGGGAAGCTGAGGCAGAAGAATTACTTGAGCCCAGGAATTTGAGGTTGCTTCTAGCTAGGCTGACGCCAAAGCACTCTAGCCTGGGGCAAGAAAATGAGACTGTATCTCAAGGAACAAAAAAAAAAAAAAATAGAGAAGAAAAATAGTCCATAAAAAATATATCCAACTATGAAAAGTGTCACTCTCTTGGTGTCTTCACACCCTCCTCTTCTGTATGCTTACGCACAGCACGGGATTTCCTGGGATCAACGCGCCCTATACTCATTCCACAGCTGCACATTTACACACTCTTGCCTGCTCCAGGACTGTATTCATGCAGCCATCCAAGACAGCTGAGACTCTTTGATAATCCACTCCAGAATTTAATTTTACCACAACTGACCCTTGACCCTAGTGGTTTCTTTCCAAAGACTCATTTTAATCATCTCAGGAGATTGGAAACCTGAGTTCTAATGCCAGCTCTGCTACTTAAATAGCTGTGTGAGTTGGGTAACTCATCATTTCACTTCTCAGAGCCCCAGGTTCCTCAACGCGTGGTCAAGATCCAAAACCGTCACTCAGACACACCACAAGCCTGGCCTTTGCAGACAATTTCAGTAAAAACTGAAAAATAATTCTTTATTTTAAGAACAAAAAGAATAGTCACAATTGTGTTGTTTACAAAAGGGAAAGACTAAAAACCAACAAAAAGTCCAATAATAAGGCAGTGGAATACTATACAAGTGTTAAGAATAATGTTGTAAAAGACATGTTTATGGATGGGCAGCAGATGAGCCTGTGGCCCAAAGGAGTAGGGCACTGGCCCCATATACCAGAGTAGTGGATTCACACCCAGCCCCGGCCAAAAACTGCAAAAAAAAAAAAAAGAAAGAAAGAAATGTTTACGGACACTGGAATATTATATAATTTTTATTAAGAGTACAAAACAGAATGTCCATTGTACATATTTCTACCAATATTCTAGAACTACAAAAAGCAAAGGAACACATTAAACTAGCCCAGCAGATATAACTGGCAAAAGGCAGACTATCCAGAAACTACATAATGACCCAGTTCTCCACCCAACAAGTTAAAAGAAGAGCTAAAATAACACAGCCCAATGTACAGACGGTAGCCATCTATGGCTTTCTTTAGCTAACTTTCCCTTGTTATTTCTTCTTCAATAAACATGTATTAATTAAATATTGGGAGAAAAAGTTAATCCTAAAAGAAAAAATACCTTAATTCTTTACACATGCTAGGGGTTATAGAATAATATCTTTTTGGATCAGAAGATTATTACTTTAATTTTACTAAAAAACCATTAAGTTTCTAGTAATTTTGAAATTTAATTGAAAGCAAAGTATATTTTATGGTTAATAAAGATCAGCTTAAAATTAACTCATGTGAGTACATATTAACCACTGTACTAGAAGAAGAAAATTAGCTTGACATTTCCACTGACTAATATCCACTTAGATTCTAAATGAGAAACAGGCTCACTAACACTAAATCTGCAGATGAAACTAAATTGGGAAGTGTTGCAAACACCAAAAACAGTTAATTGCAAATAGTTACACTAAAAATGAGATCCCAGTTAGAAAAAAACACAAATAGATACAGAGAAAAATAATCTGTAGGTGACAATTCAGTAAGTGAAAGCATGTTTGAAGAACCCTGGAGGGTCAATGAAGACAGGTACCAGGAGAAGTTAGCAGCGAGAACAAAAATTAGAAGCTTCAGGAAGAGTCAATGCAACCATGAAAGTAACACTGAACCCACATAAGTACAGAGGTAAAATCAGATATGAGGAGAGGAAAACCAGGAAATGGGAAACTCCAAAAAAAAAAAGGAAGAGATGCTCTGGGGAAATCTGGGCTATTCCCAAAGACCTGATGTCTTGACTTGTTGGTAAAACAATCACATCAATTTCCCCTTTCTGAGGTATAATCAAGAGAGACACTATGGCTTTTTTGAAAAAGCATGGCTCTCCTTCATCTACTTAACAGCAGAAGAAATATTCTCTGGTAGCAACCAGTTCTTATTAGGCCTATTAAGATCTACCAACTATAGCACTTGCAGCTCACAGGCTCAAAATATTGATGGAAGACACATTTATATAGAATCCCTCCCTTGCTAGCACAGGGATCAAATATTTAATATTACCTACCTCTGAGTAGCTCAAAGCGTTTAGATTTTAATTCACCCACCATGATACTGTGACATTAGGAAGGAGGAAATAAACATTTTATAGCTGAGAAAAAAGTAAGCCCCAATAGCTAAAAGGACAGAGAAGTATGTATTTGTCTGCAAGGGAAAAGCAAAGCTAAGGACTAAGTCAACTCTGTGGTGAAATTTCTCCTTCCAAACACTTGACCAAATGCCCGTACTCAATGTCACCAAATTATAACACCTCCTATAGCTCAACACATAATACATATACAGTAGAACCTCCATAGCTGACTTCCTCTCTACACTGACCACCTACTTACGTTGACCTTTTTTTTTTTTTGAGACAGAGTCTCACTTTGCCACCCTCCGTATAGTGCTGTGGTGTCACAGCTCACAGCAACTTCCAGGTCTTGGGCTTAAGCGATTCTCTTGCCTCAGCCTCCCCAGCCTGGGACTATAGGCATCCGCCACAATGCCCTTATTTTTTTGTTGCAGTTTGGCTGCGCTGGGTTCGAACCCACCACCCTCGGTATATAGGGCCAGCGCCCAACTCACTGAGCCACAGGCACCGCCTATTGACCTAATTTTCATAGACCAGACATGCACCACACGGATGTATCAGTACGGTAGGCCTAGTTCATTATGTTGATCACTGCCATATGTTGACCAGTTTGTTACAGTCCCTTATAGAGATTCTACTGTATTTTGATTATTATCTGGCCCCATATTTAAGAACAATGTTAATACTATTAAACCAAATGATAATTCCAACCAGATATTTCAGTATCCCCAAAAGAAAAAAGGAAAACGGACACACTTCTTTTTTTCTTTTTTGTGACAGAGTCTCACTATGTTGCCCTTGGTAGAGTACCGAGGCATCATAGCTCACAGCAACCTCAAACTCTTGAGCACAAGTGATGCTCTTGCCTTAGCCTCCCAAGTAGCTGGGACTATAGGCACCCACCACAACGCCTGGCTATTTTTTTTTTTTTTTGGAGATGAGGGTCTGCTCTTGCTCAGGCTGGTCTCAAACCCGTGAGGTCGGGCAATCCACCTGCCTCAGCCTCCCAGAGTGCTAAGATTATGGGCATGAGCCACCACGCCGGGCCAAAAGAATTCTTCTAAACTAGAATGTTTACAGGGATGTTCAAAAAGTAATAACTGACAGTCTCTCTTATCTATGTGGAGAAAATTAACTACCTTATAGAGTGGTAAAAATAATATTTATTGAGGGCTGCTGCATATTCCAGAACCTAAAGCGTCTCCCGAATACCTAGCTCTCTAGAATACCTCCCTATACTTTCAATTCTTCTCTTCCTTCCCTTCTGAAAGTTTTTCTTAACCAGAAATATTTAATTACTACAGGTTCAGAAGGGAGAAGTGAGAAATATGTAGTTGGCTGCGGATCACATAGACTTAGAACTCAAAGAGATACGATAATTCTCAGAAGTTTTTTCAGAACCTCTCTATGTTACAGATAGGGAAACTGAATCAGAGGTAAAATTTTCTACTCATTTGTAAGCCCCACCTCCACCTTGAGGTGATTCTAAATGTTTTATATATATCTTTTTCATTTGTAAAATGCCAAGACTCTTACATCAGAAGACTCTACTTAAAATTAATCCTTAGGTCTTGCTTTTCCTGGAGCTACTAGTGGTTATTGACTAGTTAGGAAGTGGAAGAAAACCAAGAAAAACTTCTGGGCTCGGCACCTATAGCTCAGCAGCTAGGGTGCCAGCCACCTACACCAGAGCTGGTAGGTTCGAACCCAGCCCGGGCCTACCAAACAAGGACAACTACAACCAAAAAATAGCCGGGCACTGTGGCAGGCACCATAGTCCCAGTTACTAGGGAGCCTGAGGCAAGAGAATCACTTAAGTCCAAGAGTTTATGCTTGCTGTGAGTTGTGATACCACAGTACTCTACCGAAGGCAACATAGTGAGACTCTTGTCTCAAAAAGAAAACACTTCTGGAAAAAACTTTCAAGGAAATAAGTGAATTATTAATAACTATTCACAGTTCCCCAAATGTTCGTCAAACCTTTAGCTATTCATAAAAATTAGACAAAGGGCCTGTGGGGTTCCTCACTCTTCCACAATCTTTAGGCTATAAAAACTAAATACCACAAACAATCAAAAACATTTAAAACAGAGACGATACAGCTTAGACATACTTTTCATGAATCTTCAAGACTCGGTGAACTATAGGAATCTCTCTTCCTTCTATCCTAAAAACAACAATTTCTCCCACTCGTATGGGGTCTTCAACCCGATTTGTTAGAAAGAGAAGGTCTCCTCTATGGAATGCAGGTTCCATGCTGCCACTGGGAAGGAAAGAAGAACAGAATAGCAGAAAGTTTAAGTGTGAGATTAAACTGGCTTTCAAAATTCAATGGTCAGTAAAATCAAAAGTACCACCTTCACAGATAGTTAGCACCCTAACAACTATAACGTAAATGTGTATTATTACCAAATAAAATATTTTCCTAGTTATTAGCATTCACTAGTGAAATTAATCATTTCAAGCATTACTATTCAAATGAATATAAATCTGGAAAACAGCAGTGTTACTTATTCTTTAACCTTTTAAAATTTCAAATGACAAACTGAATATAAAAGAATGAACTTTAAAAATACTGCCCTTATTCTCACTTAATCTAAAACCAGTAAACATATTCAAATATTCAAATGAGAGCTGGATCATCTTCTGCCATTTACAAAGATACAGACCAAGATGACCTTAAAGGATGAACCCATTAAGAAGGAAAAACAGCTCATCAAGTCAATTAGCTACAAAAATAACACTTGTCTCATCAATTTAGTTATTTCATACCTATTTTTAAAAGAAAAATAAGAAAAAAAATAAAGGACTAGAGCAGAGATTTCTGTCTAAGAATTTACCTATTTGTAAAAACTGGATGAAGGACCTACGCGGTTTCTCACTCTTTCACAATCTTTAGGCTATCAAAACTAAATACCACAATCAAAAACATTTCAAATAGTCTTCAAAACAACTCTATAATCTAAGTACTATTATTATTCCAACTTATAGACAAGGAAACAGACACTTTAAAAGGCCTAAAGTTATAAAGCAATAAGATAATAAAGGTAAGATTTGAACCAAGAGAGTCTAGTAGTCACTCTCACTATACTTAACTGCCTTTCAGCCACCCTAGAATTCATATTTGCATTGAAAGAAGATCACTTCAGAAGCTAAGGAATATTTGGAAAAAAATCAAATATTTAGTGAATAAATTAATAAACTAGAAAAGATGAGAAAATAGACTGGGGGACTGATTTGTCCAGGTTATTATTATAAATGAATACTTGGGAACTATTAAAACTATTATTTAAAACTCTTTAAATCAGCAGGCACAGTAGTAGTCCCAGCTATATGTGAGGCTGAGGCAGAAGGATCACTTAATGCCAGAGTTGGTCACCATACTGTACACAGTCATCCCTATGAAGACTCACTGCACTACAGCCTGGGCAGCACATCAAGACCTTGTTTTTCTTTTTTTTGCTTGCTTGTTTATTTTCTGAGACAGAATCTTACTTTGTTGCCCTAGGTAGAGTACAGTGTTGTCATAGCTCACAGCAACCTCAAACTTTTTTGTGATCCTTTTTGCCTCAGCCTCCCAAATTGCTGGAACTACAGGTGCCCATCACAATGCCCAGCTAGTTTTTTTTTTTTTTTTTTA